GAGCGAAAATGAAATTACGGTCCCTTGAACTCTCCCTCAAACGTGCTTCACGGTATCTTATTTTTTTTTTTGCGCGTAAGTTTTGAGCTAAAAAAAATACATAAAAATATACAAATAAACAATTAAAATCAATCAAAAGTGATCAGAAAAAATCCAATAAGAATTAATTTGTCTTCAGGTATTTTCCTGAAAATATTTTCATCACGATTTAAGGCTGCTTTAGAGGCTTCAAAAAAAGAATTTTTCTTTTTAAATCTATTCTAAAACTATGCAAGAATATGTCTTCAAAATTTCAGAGGCCAATTCGATGTATTTTAGAAGCTAGCGCAGTTTTAGTGGCCGAGTGTCGGGCAGGTTCGAATGCTCGGGCAGAATTTTGAAGCACGTTTTCTCGAGTTTTTATTTTTATAAGTCTTATAAAACAGTGCCGGTGAGTGCAAAATGAATATACATATATCCGATCGAAAAAAATAGAAAGTGATTTAGTTTCACTTTTATATTTTCTTCTTTTTGTACTAAAAAAGTTGGACAAAATTATTCTTTGCAATTTGGGGGCGAATTTTTTATTTTCAAAAAGAGTGATATTTTTTTAAATTCGAAAAAAATGAAATGTGGAATTTTCTAACTACTCTGGGATTTCTTTTAGTTCATAGAGAAGAGTTAAATATAACAATAAAGAAACGAATTTGGTTCGACTGTTTCTGATACATCACACGACCTCCATCACCGGCACCGTTTCACAAGTTCAGATTGCAGTCGCTTTAGAAAACTGATCATAACATAGGATAATTCCAATATTTTTAGTTACTAAAATTTGATTTTTGAAGCTAAAATCAGGTACATTATTATCTGAAAACTTCTTTTACCGTAATAATTTCCTTATTTCAAAAGAATTGCGGAAAAAATGCCTTTTTTGGATTCTGAAGGAGACCATTGCCTTAAATTAATATTAATTCTTCCGAAAATAATGACAATATATGAGCAGATCTAGCTGGGAAAATATTTGTTAGTGAAAACTCTAACCTCACAGAAAATCAGGGCTAGAATTTCCAACAGTATAAAAGATTCGGGGAAATGAAAATAAAATTAAAAACAAAGAGAAGTTGGCATTTGATGAAGATCTACGCCACATTAACCTCATACAATTACTAGGGATCTTGGGAGCATAAATTGCGGCATGAGTATGATAAAATGCTTTCTGAGAAAGAGTTCTAGTTCAGGGTTGCCTTAGTTATCTCTCCCTGTGTTGAGTACATCCAACTGAAAACCAGTAATACTGGAAAGCCAAAAAGACATCTATTTAACTCGTCTAAACCGACAATATAAATTGTTCTAAATTAAAGAATACATGGAATATAGCGCCATAAGCCATAAATGCAGAGGAAAGGCAAACTTAAAGACGCGCTGAATCCCACTTGACTGTCAGTTACGGCGATGAAAAACCAAATGCAATCCTCGTGTGCTCCACAAAACAGGCATTAATCAAATTTCCAACTGACACTTTCGACCAACAACTTGTTGTAGTTGCCTTAGTTATTAAGCAATAATTTCGGCATACTTTTGATGCTAACAATTTCTTTCTTTCCGTCTTTCTTGCACTTCTTAGCTGACCAGCAAGCACTTTCTTGGGAGCACTGAAAACACTTTACATAGGTAATGTTTGTATGTACTCTTCATGTATTTCGTAACGAGCTCGAGATACTTTTGTACTGACAAAACACACGTGTGTTTATGATTCACTTTGATCACTCGACAAATGCTCGCGTACAAAATTTAATTATTTTTTATTTTAATTTTTTTTTTATTGCGTTGGCTTGGCTTAAACCACTTGTACCACCGACTCGTATGTACTGACTAGAATGACTGACGTACTGGCACACACGTCTCCTCACTTGGGTACATATGGTGCAACCGAATTTCTTGCTGCTTTGTAAATTTAATTCTTTGTTTATATTGAGTTGAGTGGAAATCAGGTAAGAAGTTGAGTGCAGTTGGAGTTGTAATTTAAAATTAAATAATTTGAGTGAAGTTTTTTGAGCAAAACAAGACACCGGCAGTATGTGGCCTATGCTTGTGCACCGGAAAATGTGAAGTGATAAACATTATAAGATGTAAACATGAAAGTAGATGAAATAAGTTGTTGCTATAAACTGTCAAATAAGCTCTTATCATATTTATTTCCAGCTACCAAGAGTTTTCAAGAGAGTACCAACCGGAGGTAGCAGACTGATGATGCTTTTACCCCTTAGAAAATTTCCAAAACCAAGGCGCCTTGTAACCGCTGAAGCGATGTTTCGGCCGAGCTTCTCCTCCAATTTGTGGTATTCCGTCTTGATGTTTTTCCAAGAAATGGAAGGGCCTACAGTTCATACTAAGCCGCCTCCGGACATCTGATGATTTTTTTATGAGGAACTTTATTTCATATCAGAAATACATATTCGGAGGGGTTGACATTTCTTGCCGAGAGGCAAGCGTAATTAGAAAATTTAGCTTAATTTTTTATTTAAAAAAAAATTTAATAAGTTTTTGGATGTTAGCACGGCATCAGGATTTGAACCCGAGCCTTCCGAATGGCACATCGTAAAATTGCTTTAAACAAATGAGGCTAAGTTGCCTCAAAGATGACAATATGATAAAGGGCAATCTAAAGCAAACTTGCGACTTTAGTTGTTTCTGTTTTTGGGGTAGCGGTTCGCTAGTCTCGCTTAGGAGCAGGCAAAATCAGTATAAGTCATCGAGGAAACGAGCTGTTTCGATGTTTTCGGACTAAAGGGAAAGGAGGTCAGATGAGCTGCTTTTAGGTCGCATGCAAAGAGGGTCTTAGTGTTGTGCGTGAACTCATTGCATCCAGGGCATACTTTTGGTATGTCGTGGTCAACTCTGGATAGGTAGGAGTTTAGTCGACTACAATATCCAGATCTTAGTTGCGACGGTATTGACGGCGTGACTATCGAGGCAGCTCGAGGCTTACATCTTCAATGAGCGGTCGGTTCACTATTTACTGAAAGAGATTTATGGAAGGTATGAACAGACAATCGGTGAAAGGCGCTTAATGCCTGTCGGCAAGATTTCCTGTGCGGCAATTCTTATAAGTGTATTGAATGTGATGTGTCTAGGTAGTGGTTCGGCATCTAGTGGGTGAATTTACTTGCACAACAGAGCTGCACAGATGCTTCGATGTGCAAGTGATGCTCTGACGACATCAGGAAGGCGGTGTTTTAGCTGGCTTCTAACTTCTTCATCTTCAAGTTAAACAAGAGTGAGGAGGTGCACCACGCTGCGGAATCGCTTGTTTAACATTTCTGGGTTTGGGCTGTTTGACCTCGAAAATCTACCGATCATTGTCGAGCACTCAGGTAGTCCATGGTTCACCTCATCGAACTCAGCGGTAATGTGGAGGTAATGACAGCCTTTATATATAATTTCTAGCTTTGTAACCGCTGAATCGATTATTTGCTGAGCTCCTCCTCGAATTCGTTGTATAAGTCTTGATGTTTATCCAACAAAGTCGCCTCCGGACGGCTGATGGTTTTTTATGAGAAGCCTTTCTTTCATGTCAGAAATACAATCGGAGGGATTGACATTCCCTGCCAAGGGGCGACCGCAATTAGAAAATTTATCTTTTTAATTTAATTAATTTTTTAAAATTACTTTTTGGTTGTTGGTCACAGCAGTACTCGAACCTTGGCCTTCCGAATGCCAATATGCAATGCTAAGCACTCTGCTATCGTGACAGCCCTTAGCCGGAAAAAATCAGGGATCTCGTCCAAGTTGTGCGACCATATAGGGAAACGTTCGTGGCTTGGTCCCCTGACGAGGAAAAAATTTTCCTTTCTTCCGCGAAATACCTGTTAGTAGACCTTAGACTTTCATCAGTAAGATCAATAGCAGATGGCATGCAGAGACGACCACAAAGTTTCTACTTCTTCTTAACGGAATTTCCATTAGCATCACAACAGCCGGGCATTGTCTGATGGGGTCTCACGGTAAGAGCATGGGCTACTTCTATAACGACTTCTCACGGCGCAGCTGCAGAGACATATATGGCGGGAATTTGATAGAACATTAACTCTGCCATTTGTGGGTTTCATAAAACGAACTATATACGAATTTAAGAAGGTGAGAGGAACTGCTTTTCACAGCTCACAAAGGGCCAACAGCTCTAAGTGCGGTTGTTGAAAATTACGCGATTACGCAACCTTAACAACGAACTAACATATACTTTCCTGGGATATTCCAGTAGTTTTCAGATATTTTCAACGCTCAAATTTTACTTCAGACAATGAAAAATGGTTGCAATTCTCTGCGTGTCTTGAGCTCTAATCGGCCAAAATTTTGTATACAGCAGAGATTTAGCCACGAAGGATTTGACTCCACTTAGGGTTTCATTATTGCAGTAAGAAGACGCCGCGCTGGTGCCACTGAGGCTAGAGTCATATTCAAATACAAATTTTATTCCAACCAACTCCCCAAACTGGCTTCTTGTACAACCCACACCAACGCCCACTTGCTTCGTAATTATGCAATTTCCTACACTCAACTCATCACTGAGTTGAATCTCATTTTCTTCCAATAAACAAGCGGACAGCGAAACAGTCTTTGCAAATCGCATAATAATTACGTAAGCAAGTAGTAGGTTGACAGCAAAAATAGTAGCAATTTACATATGCACGGCGTCACACAGCAGCACAATTTAGCATTTAATTATCGGCTCGAGGCTGCTATGTGCGCGAGTGCAATAAATTGTGGCACATGACGTGTGGTGGGCGGTATTGCCCATAAGTAGGAATGAACGACAAAACCAATGCTGTGGAAACGTTTAATAAAGATGACACGGGAGTAACACTTGTTTGATGATTGAAAATGTGGCAGCAGAAAAAGATAAGCCGCTGCTTCTAATTCATTTCAAATGTCAACAGCGCATTAGTAACTGCAGGAAATGAAAAAATTTTCGCATATATAATATAAATAGTATGTAAGCCTCTTATATTTTCAATAAACATTACTCATTGCTACTTACAGATTTGTACGTGGCGTGGGTACCGGCGTCTTTTTTGTCAGCGACGATGACAAACTGGAACGACGTGAAAAGTTCGATGCCACTTCGTCGGCCTCTTCGCCGAATGGATTGCGTGAAATGCGTGGTGGTGGTGGACGTGGTGGTGGCACCTTACCAGTTGAAGGCGTAGATGCTGCTGTTGAATTGCGTGATGACTTCTCCAGTTCGATCTCGTCATCGGAACTATCGAATGGATTGAGACTTTGTGGTTTTTCTGTGGATTTAGCGTTTGTGCTTGTATTGTCACTGCTAACGGTACGCGGTTGTGGTGTTCTTATTTCCATGCACTGCGGGGTTTGTAGATTTTCCTTGTTCATATCTGCCTCTTCATCTTCGTCGTCGGATTTGAAGGGGTTCAAGTCTTCGGGATATTCATCAGGTGTGGTTTTGTTGGGTGTTGCTGTTAGTTTTTCTACTATTTCTGCTCGAGCAGCGGCGACTGGGGTTGGCTGCGAAGTGCTATCAATACTTTCACCTTCCTTGGCAGCCTGCTTCGTTGCAGTTAAGTCTTTTGTAGCAGCTTCTTCGCTGTGCTCCACTTTGCTTACTTCTATTCTCGGCGTTATTGTTGGTGTTCGCAATGCGGGCTTGGGTTCGCTACCTTGTTTTACATCTAATACTATGTTATTGTCTTTTACTTCTGTTTCCAATTCTAAAGGCACTTCATTTACATTTGACTCCTCGAGTTCCATGATTTCTCTTGTTTTAGTTTCAATCTTTTCCGACTTCTCTATTTCCATTGCTCGTAGTTTTGCTTCATCTTCGAGATTTTCTTTAGTTAAACTTTCGGTTTCTCTAGTTTCATTACTTGCCCTTGTTGTAGTTGCTGTAGCTGGTGTGGATGCTGTCGTAGAGTTCGTCTCATCCATTTTGGCGGCCACTTCAACACCGGTATTCAGTATCTTCTTATAGCTATTAGTGTTAGTACTAACAATTTCAGGTTCACTTAGCTTAACATCATTATTAGTAACGGTATTATTATCATTATGCGTATTATTATCGGCTTGCTTCTCTTCGCTAGCATTATTATTATGTTTGTTTGCAATTACTTCGAATTGTTGCAGACGCGCACGCACCACACTAAGCCGCTCAGTGGTTGCCTTATCCTCTGGCGACTCCAGTGACTTGACGCGCATCTCGACAGGTTTCTCATTGGTGGTGTCCATATTTTCGGTACCACTCTCCGTATCCAATTCTTTTAGGTTCGCACGCAATTTTTCCAGCTTTTCCGTAGTGTTGCTTGCCAACGCGGAGGGAACCTGTGTTGGCGTCTGTGCTGTTGCTGCAGCAATTACGTTCGTATCAGCAATCTGGTCTTTGGTAACATCTTCATTAGAATTAGGTTCGCTTAAATCTAAATTATTTGTTGCTGTTAGGCTTGTTTGCGCTTTTTGTTCGGCCGCTTTTGTTGGTATCGTTTTGAAATCGTCCTGTTGATGACCATTATTGTTTACGTTATCAGCTTGTTCTCGAAGTGGTGTCGTCAGAGAAGCTGTAGTTGTTGTTACATTTAACTCCGTCTTTCTCTCGTTTGCAATTTGCTCGCTAATTTCTTCGTATGTCTCTTCAGTCGACTCGAACGCTTGCGGCTGTGCAGTTTCTTGGGCTGTTGACCCTAGCTGCAACTGCGCGGTGGCTGTAAACCGTTTATTTTCGGCCGCAGCTTTCTCTTTGTAAACATCATTTGTTTGCTGTGCCTCCTCTGCCACTGAGGGTGGTTGTGTTCTAGGTAATGCGGGCGCAACGTCATCCAAACTGGGCTCCTCCGCATCATTTTCTGTATCTGACGTCTCCATTTGTGTCTCCGTACCGGATTTACTACCAACTGTATTGTGTGACAAGCTTTCCGCATCCGCATCCTCACTCTCACCCGCACCCTCACCGTCGATGGTGTCGTTGAGAAAACTGCTAAGCGCGCTATTTATTTTGTATGTCGACGTTGTGGTCGGCGCTTCCATGCGCTGCAAACTCTTACTTTTCTCTTCGTCGGAGACGCTTTTTTGTAACAAAAATTTACTGCTTGCTGCTGTTTCACTGCTTTTCGGTGAGTTGGCATCCTTTTTAGCTTGCTCAAAGAATGCCAAACGATCGGCTATAGAACTGCGCGCATTCTTCGGCAGCGCCGTCTTGAAAGTGCTAGAAGTGGAGGGTGTTTGATCATCACTTCCACGCCGTAATTGTACACTACTGGCTGCTAAATCACCTCCAGTAGACGCGTTCAATTGCACTTCCTCGTCGGGACATGTTTCACAGCAATATTCACCATCTACTTCGGTCTCATAGAAGCTACCGGGTGTGAGTTGTGAGCCACAACGTGCACATTTCAGACAAGTGCGATGATAAACTTTCTTGCCGACCAATAGACGTTCAGCGAGGAAGACGGGTAGCTGACATTTCTGACACGGATCTCGTTTGGGTACGCCAACAACGTGGGCCATCTGTAAAGAAGAAAATGATTTAATTTGATACTTACAAAAAAAAAAAAAAAACAATTAATTTTAGTGCTGATTAGTAGGTTAGTGAACACATATTTAGGTTTTGAGATGACAAAGCCCAAAAGTATGCAACGCAATGGTTAGCTGTAGTATTGGTAGGTTGGAGTGTGTTTTTTTCACATAACCTAATAACGAAGCTTTCAGCTGCAGTGGATTGTCTTACTAAATTTATATAAAACATAAATAAGTGAGATTTTTTTAACAAAAAAAAGGTTTATTAAACAAATAAATTCGGGAGTAACCTTTATATAAGGACTCTCTTCGACATGTGCCGCCAAAATTCGAAGTAAAGCCGTTAGAGTTAAATGGAACTTTAAAAAAGTTTTTTATGAATTTGTTTTACGAAATCAAGTGAGAATTTTTCGTTCACAAACTAAACTAAAAAAAAAAGCTTGAGAAGCTTTAAAGGCTCTTATACTTTTTGTTTACCAATTGAAATAATAAAATCATGAAATGGGTCTTTAAAGGTTAATGGCTTATCACACCAGATATGTTTGCGCTCGGCGGTACGATCGATAATCAAATTAGACTCTCCGATCTGGTTTTAAATACAACAAACCTAAGGCTGCGAAGTCAGAACTCTGAGAAAGTTTTTAACAGATTTTTGAGTGGATTTAAAGCAGGCTTGGAGTCTCTTATGCCAAGCAGACATTTACAAGATTTGTCTGGTGTGTAATTTTTTATTATTTTTATTATTTTAAGGGGAGAAAAAAAATCGCTGAAGCGATGTTGGGTTAAAAAAAAGAAGCAAACTAACAATGCCCTCAGAAAATACTGGGTGATCACATTTAAAACTTAAAGAGTTTCACCATTTTTGACATTGAATCGTCGTCTGGCGTCTTGCATACGCTCATTTCACCGAAAACATGATCCATAAGCGATAAAGATCATTTCACATTGAATGACGAGGTTAATAAGTGAAACTGCCGCTTTTGGGCCGATGGAAATGCTTGTGAGATATTCGAGTAGCCTCTTAAAAGTGATCAAAAAATGAGTGTTTGTTACGGCGTATCGGCCAAAAAGAACAAGGCAGGTAGAGCTTACGATCAATGGTACGCGAAACAGAGCGATGCTACGTGACTTTGTGTTTCCGCAAATGACTGAAAATGACATGTTCCACTTCTGGTTCAAACAAGTACAGAGCTACAGCACACACTAGCCGCTACTCTGCACGATGTTCGACCGACGGATATAAACGAAAAACGACGATTTCGACTGGGCATCGCGCTCATACGATTTGATGTCCACGGACTTCTTTTTATGCGAGAGCAAAGTTTACATCGACAAATCACCACAGAAATGCTGGAAAATGTGTCACACAAAATATGGTATTTTTTTTTTTTAATTTCTAGATATAGCTACCTTTACTATAGGCACTAGTAGCGACTTACTAGAGGCACATGTGCTAAAGGTTGTCATTTTAGATAGCAAAGAATTTAGTTCTCGCTACTGTGAAGAGACTGTAGAACATTTAGAAGCGTAATTTAAGAGTGTGGAACTCAAACAGGCAGATACTAGTTCTGCTAAGAGAAGCACAATTGCGTTGCAGATGCCACCAATCCCGTGACATGGCATACTTGTTGTAAGAGGCGCCTAAAATTTTAAAAGTAACCGCGACCATCGGGTTTTAAACCGCTACGACTTGGATTTTTATTCGGCCAAGGGTTGTAACTCCAACAACATGGCCCAAAAACTATTTTGGAAATTATTTTTGTGGCTGCAATGACAACAATAGCAACAATAATAACAGAAGTCGGCTATTGGATGAGAGTTGAATATAATTTTCAATTATAATAAATTTTGATTTTTTTTTTCTTTTTGTAACAAAAATGTCTTTTTTTCATTTAAATCAATATTTTACTTTCTGAGCGCACTTATCGTGATTTTTTTTTTTTTTTTATTTTTTATTTTTTTTTTTTTTGAAAATTTAAGGTGTTTTTGAACACAATATTTTACTTTAGGAAATAATTTTTTTGATTATATTCTCTTTTATTATTATTTCTACATTATTTTTGCTGCTTTTGATATTGATTTAAATATTTTTTTTTTTTTTGTAACAGTGTAAATGCTTTTGTTCGGGTCATACATATATATGTTGTGGGTGGGTATTTTCCAACTTTTAGTGATAATTGTAAATAAAGATAGTAGTTTTAAATACATAAGTATGTGTTGTGAAAGTGACAGTGTCAGCTAAAAAAAAAAATTATATTAAAAGCTAAAAGCAGATGCAGCAGATAAAAGCAAAAGCAGTATTGATGTACATATGTAGGTTTGTGATTACAACAGAATTAACAGTATACAACAGTGTTGTGATAAGCTTCAAAGTTAGACAAAAAACAAAGCGTTGAATGTATGACATACTAATATATAAAGTATAAAGTGAGGTTAGGTAAGCCTAAGGTTAGTGAGTTATTAGTAAACTTATGACTTAAAGTGTGAAAATTGAAGGTAATAAATACATATATATATCAATATATATATAAATATCTATTTAGCCTTAGTACAAAACAGTTGTTAGATGCACTTTTTGTCAGCATGCGGCTCACGGCTTACCTGTAACAGAATTTTTTGCGCGCAAAGCAAGGCGTCGTGCGTCTTTCTTTACGCTTTAAATTATGACTGTGCGTGTGTGTCTGTGTATGTGACCTTGGATGATGCACTTTATTTATTTAGTATCCATACGATATGCAATGTTGATATTATTTATGGGATACGCGCATGCGCTCACTTGCTTAACGGTTTTAAATTTGTTCTTTTTGTTTGATTGTTTGGTATTTGTTGTTTTTGTCTGCTGTGTGCTGTATGCTGTGTGTCCGATATGTGTATAATATTTTCTTTCTATATATGTATGTAAGCACACATATGATCTAACTAAAAGCATAGTACCATCTCGAGCACGAATTCTTTCATCCATTCATACATATTTATCAATTAATTTATTTAATTAATTTAAATGGAATTTAAGCGGCGCGACAAAAATATATTCAATGCACAAAAAAACACAAAAACTTTGTTGTACAAAAAAACTTATACAATTAAATTTAATGCTTAAATGCTACTTAATTATTGCTTTACATACATACAAACATATAAAAATATTAATATTTGTAGCTTGAAATTGCTTTGTTCTTTTTATGCTTAAAATCTGATTTGTTCATTTGCGTGATGTACAAACAATTGATTCATTCATTAATCTAGGCTAATGCGTGCCTGTATGCGCGTGTATGCGTATGTGTGTGTGGGTATGTGTGTATATGAGATACTTTTTTTTTTTAGCGTGCAAATAATTTCGCCGCTTAATTACTGGCTTTTCTAATGCAAAGTTTAGCAGTTTGAGCTTCTTTTCTTTTGCAGCTTCTCTTAGATATTTGATTTTGTGTTTTATTTTTTATTTCATTATTTTATGTTTGTTGTAATTCTCAATTGTTTGTGCTGCATAAAGTTTGTAGTTTTGGTTTTTGGTTTCTTTATTTTTTTTTCTTGTCAATTAGTGCTTCCTCTTTTTTAGCTTTTTTTTTTTGAGTTGCTCTTTTACTTTACTCTTTTATTTGTTTGTTTTATATAAAGTGTATGTGTGTGTGTGTATGTGTGCGTGTGCACTTTTATATTTTTTGAAACTCAAAATGAACAACTGAGCGTTTTTTTTGGTCCTATTTATTGATATTTAGCAGAATATCTCAGGTTTATATTGTCCAATAATGTCCAGAGTTTTCTCGTCCTGTTTAGAAAGAATAAAGTAAAAAAAAGAAAAAAGTCGAATATACATACATACATATAGAGATAATGTTTTTTTTAATATGATTAATGAAAAGATAGATAGATAGAAAGCAAAAATTTTGAAAATAAAGTGACCAATGAACCATGCAAAGAGCTTAGAGTGGTTGGTGGTGGGAAAGGATGAAAGAGGAAAGATTATAGCAAGCATTGCATTACAATAAAATTTTAGGAAAATTTAAATATTAGGCTACTTTTGCAAAGGAAGTGAAATATCTACTAGTGAGCTAGTCTAAAACAAGTTTGTGCCAAGAGAAAGTGAGAGATAAAGGAGCAAATTTAAGAAAAATTTTTCAGCTGAAAAAAAAATATAGATCCTTTCGCGCTGTTACCTTCGTAGTCCTTACTTTTGATACTGAGGTGAATAACTGTCAAAAGATTTTGAAAAAAATGTAGACAGTTGATTGAAACATATACAAAATTCAGCCTAAAGCTGAGAGTTTAAAATAAAGGGTTAGCCATTTAATGAAAAAAAGACCAGAAAACTCAAATTTACTGCCGAATGTTTATTATCATTCGAAAGCATCTTCTCTGACATTTACTTTTTAGAGATTAGCTTTTCCAAATGTTGGCCGCAGCTACGTTTCAGATGGTTCATCCGTTGTGTCCAAGTTTCAATGACTCACTCCACTTACGACTTCATACTTTACATATTCCCATGGGAAAGAGTCTAACGGTGTGACATCACACGATCTTGGTGTCCAATCGACCGCCCCGAAATGTGAAATTATCCGCTCTCAATAAATCCAATGTTGAAACTAAATGTCACCGAGATCGAGAGCTTCAATTTCATTCATCATTCATCACCGGCATCATTTTTAAATAAATATGGACCGTTGATTCCACAAACCATCTGGATGAAATGGCCGCTCAAGAACCTCTTCAGGTTACCCAAATGCAGCAATCGTGCTAATTTCCATACCCATTGAGCCAGAAATGAGCCTCACGGCTAAACGACTTTCGGAACTTTTCAAGAGCCCATTGAGCGAAGCGATGTCGCTTGGGAAGGTCGAGTGTCTTCAATTCTTGCGCTAGCTGTATTTGTACGCACTTAATTTAAGAACTTGGCGTAAGATGCGTCAAGTCGTTCTAAACGACAGTCCGCGTTGCTGCCAACGGCGCCGAATCGACTCTTCACTATCTTCGTGTACACTCTCAGCTACGAACGC